GTGATAGAACAGGCCCCGAGTTCACAAAGCATTCTCAGACTTAAGTTGAGAATTTGCTCAACTTTCAATCACAGTTTATGAGAAATATCTTTGATCCAGAAGCACAAAACTTTGCATATAGTTTCTTATTGATATATCTGATACATTAAAACAACAAAATTATTATAAAGGGCTATATTTTAGTTAAAATAAGGCGAACAATTTTGAGTAAATTCTAAACTTAAGTCTGAGAATGCTTTGTGAACTCGGGGCCAGGTTAAACACGTTCCAAATATTATTTTATCACAGAGATCTTAGCTACGATAGATGCGTAATGACGGGTTCAACAAACGGAAGTGACGAACGCAAAAGGAAAACACGATTTATCCTTCAATATAACTGACTGAAGTGACGAGTGATAACTGATACACAGGCGAATTTCTGCTCACTAATACTTTCTTCGAAGATCAAAAGTTGATATATGAGACTGTGAGGGGACATCTGACAATTCAAAAAAGTAACTGAATGTCAAAAGCTAAGAAAACACGAGAAAAATAGAAATATTCTATTCAATAAAAACATGGTTATGCACCGACGTTTTCTAATTTTTTTTCGTTTTCTCTTATCTAGTGACAGTCAATTTCTTATTTGAATTGTCAGATATAATAATATTTGGGACACCAATATTGTCCTTTAATTACAAGATATTATTGTTCTTCTAATTGATTGCCCAAAATAGTCTTCCATAGCAGACACAGATAGAAGACCCTTGTAACATAGAGACGTTTTCGTTTGACAGGGCAAAAACTCGATGAATAACTCGATGAAGACCAAAACATTTAATAATCCCTTGGTCCGTTTCACGCTGAGTATTTATATTATATCATGTTGTATAATATATGGAGGTGAGGGGCCGAATGGTTAAGACGTGTGCGCTGTCATTGAGAGTCAGCGGGCGTCGTTTCGATTCCCCGGTTGTACGTGACAAGGAGTAGGGTCGCCTGTCCAACCGCGTGGGTTTTCTCAGGGTGGTCCGGATTCTCCGACTGCTTAAGAACCCTACGTGCAAGCGAATGATTGAAATAAAATCAAACTATGTGTTAGTCCCGAAATGACCTAGTTTGTATCGTTTGGGCGTTAAAGCCAATTTATCTCTCTCTGTATAATATATTGACTTGGCATGTTCTTTGTGAAACAAGAATCTGCTTCTGGTCAGGTCCGTGGCCTGGTTGTTATGAAGTTAATTTTACCGTGAAAATATTTTTTTTACTAATAGCGGTATCTTTGTATTCAGCCCAGCTCAGTGGTTAGAATGGAAATGTATTAGAGTTTAATATCCTGCTGTCTTGCACCGATAAGACTTATGAAGACGGGCGTACGCATATAGGGAGGTCTGAGAAGAATTTTTGAAAAAAAATGATTTTTTTTCTAAGTCCAATATCTTGTGGAACTCTTGTGGTAAAAGGTTCCACACAAATGCCCCCAAACCTTGTCATAGATGCAACGTGTACACTGTTTTTTGTCCCATCCGAACGACTAGAAGGTGGTTTAGACAGGGGCGGTTGCATTGAGTCTTGAAAAACATAATGGACGATTAATAGTCAGTCGTGTAACAACACGGAATTAGATGTCGCTGTTTTGCAAGTCCCGAAAACAGGCCCCAAGTTCACAAAGCATTCTCAAACTTAAATTAAGAATTTACTCAACCTTTAATCCCTGTTTATAAGAAATATCTTTGATCCAAAAACACAAAAAATGCACATAGTTTCTTATTGATGTATTTTTTGATACGTTAAAACAACAAAAGTTTTATAAAGGGCTATATTTTAGTTTAAAAAAGGCAAAACAAAATTGAGTAAATTCTTAACTTAAGTTTGAGAATGCTATGTGAACTTGGGCCCGGGTGTATTATTTTCCGTTGGGGCGTGTCTTTTCCCCAAATTCTGATGTTAAATCGTACCTGATCATAATTCATATAGATGAAAAAGTGTTTTATTTAGAGAATTGTTTGTTAAATCATACTTGATGTATTATTTGATATGGATGACAAAGTGTTTTATTTAGAGAATTGTTTGTTAAATCATACTTGATGTATTATTTGATATGGATGACAAAGTGTTTTATTGTTTTAAAGGTAAAGTAAGATGGAATCTGGTGTTTCTGATAACTATATGTGTTACGGTGATGGTACTAACCCTTTGGTCCAAGATACCATCGACTAGCATAAAACATCATGATCATGATCCGCCAGACAGGACCCCGGAACCACATCCTGATGGTATGGAAATAAAACAGTCTCGTCTCAAACATCAAAAGCCACGTGTTTATGAAAATGACACGACCCGGAATGATTCGCAAAAACAAACTTCGGGTACTTTCCCGCCATCTTGGAGTATCTCTCTAACGATCCGGATGACGAGTACACCTAAATTATTACGCTTTGTTTTCTGTGATCTGTTAAAAAGTGTAGCTTTATATTGGACAAAGCAGCTGGGTGATGTCCCCATTATTCTGGACCAGGAATCCACAAAAGATCGAATTCTTGCATCCAGTCTTTTACATCACCAAGAGCAAATGGGGATGAGATTCAAATTCTTTTACGAACCATTACCAAAAGACAAAAATATTTTAAATAAAATGAAGCACTTGAAATACAAAACATTCGGTTATAGGCGTCAATTATATTCTAGCTTTTTAATGGACAAATTCATCAACAGTTCGATCATAGCTTGGATCGACACAGACACCAAATTTAAATCACCTGTCACATTAGAAACGATTTTTAAAGGTGGGAAGTTAAGGGTGAAAGGGATGAATAAATTTGAATTCGGGTATGTACGTGGATTTGACCGAGCGACCAAAATGATGATCGGAAAACCAATCCCCACCAACTTTATGACCTTTTTCCCGGCCTATATATGGAGAGATACTATCACCAATTGCAATAAATATATTTTAAAGTTCATGAAGGTCCGAACTATCGAAGAAGGGTTTATAAAAAATGACGGTCTTGCGTTTGTTAGTCCCGTGAACGTGTTTCTGACCTATGCTTATTATTTCGAGAAAGATCGATATGATTGGCATATAGATATAGGACGTGGGATTAGCTTGAAGAAATATAACAAACTATATCTACTCCCGGGTCACGAGCTGACCCCATCTGACGTCACTATTGGCATACACGTGACATTTCATAATAAATATTTTACAGATTCTAAAAATGTTATAAATAGACACGGTTATTGCGCTGCCGTGGATAAAACGTCTGTTAAACTTGACACGACAACTAGAGACATGTGTAAAAAGTTTCAAGGGGAGGTAATGTGGTCCCTGTTTATTCATCAGAATGGACACAATCATTTGGATACGTGGTGTGGAGGTAAACAGAAACGTCGACAGTGTTTGACCTATATTAATGACTATTACAGACAAGTGAGAGCGGCAATTAAAGATGGTGTGTATACATTAGATATAGATACAGTCAGGGCTGTGGACAAGGCAGCGGTATCAATGAATGTTCAATGTAAGCCTTTCTTCTATGGTGGTAAATAAACATACTGGTCTTACACATATATTATAAAGCCTGGCTTGACAATGCTAGGAGCAATAACATCAACGTTGTTTCAAAGGCATGATGGAATGGGGCTTAACGTCCTAATGAATATAATCCTTGAGTTGCATTTAGCGATTGAGCCTATTAAAAAATACAACACAATTTATATGGAAAACAACCACTGGTTTATACACATATAGCACAACTATCCTCTTATTGTTTTCAAGAACAAACTTGAAATGATACATTTGTACTTGAAAACGATAAGAGAAACGTTGTGCTAAATGTGTTTAAACCAGTGATTATGTTGTGTATTTTTGCGCTCTAATGAATACGGGCATACGGGGGAAATTTATCCAGCGGAAAACTTTTGTCGAATTCCAACTGCCAAAAGTACCCGGGTTTTTGTCCCCACCCAAACTTTCTAAACGCTGTAAAGACCAATCGAACAAGGGATTTCCTCCTGGTTGGTGTGGCATCGTCTTACTGGCTGAACCGCCGTGTCTTCTACAAAGAAAAGACGGAGTTTTCGTGTTCAATCTAAAGATGCATTTCGATGACCCATACTTAGTGGAATGACTACCATTGATCGGCAAGCTTCATATAGATGGTCGTCGAAATAATAAAATAATTTATAGTTAGAATTGTAACTGGAGTTGTCCTCCCCTCATCAACTATGTAATGTCGAGACTAACACATGGTACAATAGATTTAAAGACACATTATGTACGATTTAGATAAAGAGCTGACTGTTCTCGCTATAATAGCTTCGATCGACTGTCCAACCTCGTAGGCTTACTTGGGGTCCTAAGTGTTCGTCCCACTGCTAACGACTCATGGATTATTGTAGTTTTTTAAAACTAGTGTCAAGTCGCTTGACACCCCGTGGATTATTCTGGGTACAGAGTCCTCTAAAAGGTCGAGATTGGGTTCAGTTTATTTGACATTAGGCTGTTTAGCCAGTCCGGTTCGTAACAGAGCTTATCGGCGAATTAACCGGTTATTATAGGAATAGATTCAACAGGCCCGTAGCTAGCCCAGAAGGAAGGTGGGTGGGTGGGGGGGGGGGGTAAGAAAGGGCTTCTGGGGGTGCCGATTTTTCTACAGAAAAATTTGGAAAATAGAGTTTGTACCAAAATGTCAGAAAATTTTTAGAGGAACTTTGAAAATGACTGAAAATTTCAATTTTGAGGCTAACTTTGCGATATTGGCGTATTATGATATTTTTTTTGACCATTATGAAAATTTGAAGAGGGAATACGATTTTTTCTAGGAGGGGGCGGGGTAGCTACCCCTCTCGCCACCACCCACCCCGCTAGCTACGGGCCTGTTCAACCTGACTGACATAGATTGGAGTAATTCCCAGGGACTAGCTAAATATTCTTATCGCTGAACATTCCGTGGAGAGCTCTGCTTCAAGATTAAACCCATTGTGAGTAAAATCATTTTATTAACATCATAAGTGACGGCTGACATATTAGGATGTTTTAATTAATCCCGCTTTGTGAACAAGATGGAATGATATCGTTCAGATATTATTCTGTTTACATAATAAGGTGTTCAATCTTTTCACACCTGTGGGGTAATTTTGAACGATACATAAATTTCCATTCAGAAAATCTTTAATTCATCAAAATACTTATAGAATTAACAATTCAACAAATTAAGAATATGTTTTGCTTTAAAAAAAAAAAAAAAATTAATGTTTTACTTTAAAAAAAATTTTTATCAATGTTTACTTTAAAAAAATTTTTTTTTTAAAAGTTTAAGAAAAAATATTTAGATGTTCAATCTTGCTTTAAAAGTGGGGTTACTTTGAACGGTTTATAAAATTGCATTCGATAAATTAATGGAAATTTAATAAATCTATCAAAATGTAACAGTAAATTCATTTGTTATAGATAATCAAATGCAAGAAACATAACAAATATTGTGAATAACCGGGGAGACGTTGTACATGTTCAAAGTTGCCACATTTTACTTTAAAAATTGTATATTATTAGCATTTTTGTACTTAAATTTTTATTTCTATTCAAAACCATCAAATACCTGTTTGAAATTTAACAAATATTAAAACACAATTTATTTGGAAAACAATGACTGAATTTTTTTCCCACTAAGTTTGAACAAGTTGCTCTTGTCGTTCTCAAGTAAGTAATGACAGTGTATTAGCAAGAAATCAAATCATTTACAACAAGGTAACAAAAACAATAACTAATTTGAAACCATCAAAGGAATAATAATAAGTGCAATTATAACAATACAAAATGTACCTCAAAGGTTCTGATTAAGGATTAATTAATATGCCAATTGTGTTCACCTCATAATATAAAAGCACAGGATGAAAAATATTATAACTGCCACCCGTACCCAAGTTTTATCCTCTACTTTATATTATAGGGTGAACTCAATTGGATAATCAAATTAGCACGTGGAACATACTTTAAATAACGATCTATTATACAATATTATTTACATTAGAATTTTCATAAACAAAATTTAAAATAGGATTTTGTCATATTGTTTTATTTACCTAGAGAAAAAGGTTAATGAATGATCTGAACACATTTCACAAGTCTTAAATAAGACATTTTTGAAAGAATTTATCAAAACTAACAACGGGTTATCTCTCTTAAAATACACAAAACAAAACTTCACATTCGCAACCCTTCTTCTATAGTATAACCAATCAATCTATAGTATAACCAATAAAATGACTCCCGTAATTCCGGGGCATCCTGGGGTACTACGTCAAAACACAATATAAAATACCTCCCTTAATATCGGGCAATTCCCTAACAATCGGGGTAATACACATAGACAATACAAAAAGCGATGAGATAAACCCGTTAATACTTTGTGGATGTTTATGTGTTAATTTCCAAATTACGATACTGTTAACCCAATTCCAGTTAAACAATCACAAAACATTTTACTTCGCCTTATAAACCTCTTAATACTTTGTTACTACTTATTTTAAAAGCCAAAATATGTGTTCAAAAACAAACAACTATAATTTATGATCTTTTAAAAACAACATGACTCGCCCGAAACAACAAGGCCCACATATGTAGTTACGTCCTTTTCTACTACAAGCTTGATAGGCAACATATTTAATTTTTGAGTTAAGAACATCAGTTTAAATGTCATATTTCTTAATCATTTTGATTTAATTAGTAAATAGTAAAGGGCTCAAAGAAAATGTTTGAAACAATTGAAATTGCCATAGACAGCAGATTTTCCGAATGGCAAACTGAGTTGTTCACAATTGATTTCATGAAATACAGCAGTTTCCATAATCTTGATTATTGCGAAATGAGTCTTAAATCCATAGCTCCAAAACGCTGATGAAAAGAAAACGGCTGATTAGAAGAAAGAAGGAGAAGGCTAATTAGAACAATGAAGCTCATAAGGAGGAGGCTTATCAGGGGGCTCATCAGGAGACTCACCAAGATACTTTTTGGATTTCTGAGGTCTGCTTTCCCTGCTAGCCCTGAAAAAGTAAAGAAAAGGGTTATTGTCATTGTTAAATTTCACCTGAAAATAAGTTTTATTGAACATGGAGTATCAACGGAATGAGTACACTGGGTAACCGAGGATGCATGTATACTGGTTATTATAATAGTTTTAGGATTAGGGTAGTTTTACATGTATACTGGTTATTATAACAGAGTAAGGACCAGGGTAGTTTTACATGTATACTAGTTATTATAATAGGGTTAGGATTAGGGTGGTTTTACATGTATATTAGTTATTATAATATGTGATAGAACTGGTAAATACATTCCAAATATAATTTTAACACAGAGATCATTGCTACGGGAGATGTGTAACAAGCACGTGAAGAAACGGGAAGTGACGCCAAACATGACAAACACGAGTTATCCTTCTATATATCTGACTGAAGTAACGAGCGATATGTTTGGCGTCACTTCCCGTTTCTTCGTTTGCTTGTTACACATCTTTGTGTTAAAATTATATTTGGAATGTATTTAACCAGTTCTATCACATAAGTAATTATGACTGACACCAATATTGTCCTTTAATAGCTAATTCATACTGTAATGAAAGTTTACGTACAAGTAGCAAATGACAACTTCAAGTATGAGCTGAACTAAACCAAATACAGCAGGAGTACCAATAACTGCTCCAGTACCCTTCGAGTTTTTACCTGTAGAAATTCAATAAATTTAAATAAAGTTTGTATTATCGCCGAAGTATATCTGCTGGAGAGAAGTGTTTCTCCACACTATATTTATTATCGAAGTCTATTTGCAGAAGAACAGTGTCTATCCACGCTATATTTATATCGGATGGACATCAGTGTTTAACATTGTCACGTAGTTGATTTGTCATCGTGTCAATACTTTATCTTCTTTTTCGATATAATAATAGTTTAATTAGGAGATAAAACTTCCTGTTTCGTATTTAGAGGGGGTTCATTATCCATTTAACCATGCTTGAATTATCCATTACAACACGAGACGCGACAGAGGCGAGTTGTTCTAATGGATAATTCAAGCATGGTTAAAGCTGAACTCCGATTACAAAACTACAGAAATAATTAAATAAAAAAAAAGATTAACGCCCAAAATTATCGCCATACTTGTTTTCAAGTTGTATAACAATCATGACGATTGTACGGCATACAAAAACAGAGGCAGGCCACGCCTACATCCAGTTCACTACTTGTCATCCACACTGTCCACATCTGGTTAGCAATATTTCGGCTGACTGATTGACGTTTTTTCACTATCAGTTTACTGAAAATATTATTGCTACACAATTATTATGTCTGATCAGGTACATATTATTTTACTAATTAGACGAAATAAGTAAACCACGGTGTACTTTTGCTCTAAAAATATGAGAAAACTGCCTTACCCCAAACAATAACAAATCTCACCAACGCCAACAATTTTTTTCTTATTTCTTGAAATGTTTTGTACAACAGCGTGTAAACACCAAATAATTTCTGGTATTATAAAGTCTAATATTATCGTTCCAAAATATATCCAAAGCAGCAATAAAACTGTTGTTCTCTCCATCAAAGAAGTATGTTTTCACTTCAAAATATTCCCCATCTTGTGAAGTAGTTATGTCCCTTGATGTTATGTCAACAACATAGAATTGCTTGGTGTTCTTTGATTTGTTATTGTTTGGGGTAAGGCAGTTGTTTTGTTTCTTATTTTTAGAGCAAAAGTACACAGCGGTTTACTTATTTCGTCTAATTAGTAAAATATTATGTACCTGATCAAATATAAAATTGTGTAGCAATAATACTTTCAGTAAACTGTTAGTGAAAAAACGTCAATCAGTCAGGAGGTAATTGGTAGTTGAAATATTGCTAGCCGGATGTGGACAGTGTGGTTGACAAGGCGTGGTCTGCCTCTGCCTTTGTATGCCGTACAATCGTCATGATTGTTCTACAACTTGAAAACAGGTATGGCGATTATTTAGGGTGTCAATTTTTTTTATTGGATTATTTTTGTAGTTTTGTAATCCGTAATCGGAGTTCAGCTTTAAATGGACAATAAACCGCCTCTAAATACGAAACAGGAACGTGTTTACAGATACTCTTGTTCAAAGATTTAGGGATTTCCTTCGGAACTATTTAGAAAACTTTTTTACAACAATTTTAAAAAGTCGTTATTTGGCCACGTGCTGGCGTTCATTTTTCATAATATTCTCAATAGATTTAGACCTTCCTTGTTTTCCTGCAAATTTAAAATGCTTGGGTCTCGAGGTGCTGGTAAATGATTTATGAAAAAAATGTTATTCAGATATCCTCAAAAAATATTTTTAACGTTTGAAGATTTTTAAAAGAACGGGAATAATTAGTTTTATTGCGGTATTTAGAGACGAGTGTCATCGATAATTGAAATAATTCCGGCCTGCTATCCGGGTCTAAAAGAGGAGTAACTCTTGGCAACAAAGATGACTCCGCCTCGGGAGTTTCATTAAAGTTTTCAGCATTTATTGATTTATTTGCAGACTGTTATCACAATGTTGTGGCTAGTTCGTGTTCACACAATAGCAGTTCGTACTAACATCCTCAAACATACCATATAAAACTATGACAGTGATGTCTAACCTAAGATTGTACTGGTCGCTATGTATACTGTTCTGACGTGTGTCAACATATGCCAATTTTTGCATAACGATTAGGCCTATATTTCAGCTGCAATTTCCGACTCACTCATTATATTTTCAAGCGATTTCGTGTGCCTAATGACGTATTATTAGGTAGATCATGCTAGTCAGACTTTGACCAAAGTGTGATTTTAAAACAAATTCCACCTGATTAAGTAAAAATTGGTGAGTGAAGATGGCCTACCAAAAAAGCAAACAAATTTGTCCATACTGTCACTGCCTAGTAACGAATATAATTGGATACCTGAAAACGCGTTTAATTAATTCATTTGTGATTTTCTACTGTTTTATGTTTTTCAGAAATGTGTTTTCAAAAAAGATGATGTTTGAAAATGGTTTGATAGTCATGTGTGCCGAATTTCTTGAAGATATTTGCCAATAAAGATTTGAGTTGAGGAAGATCATTGAGCACAAAAACGAAAAAAATGTACACTGTAATATTTATACGCAGTAATTCGCCTTGATAATTTAGAGGGGGTTCATTCCCCATTCGATGACACTTTTCGATCAATCAGAATCGAGGAAATTTTTAATTTGTGCTATAATATATTTTTAATCCACCCATTACGGGTGTGCAAAGCGCTACATTTACATCACTCGTCATCAATAGTGTTTTCCGCTCAGACATTGCTTCTGTGGTGGCGCCACTACATTATCGGTTAATTGTTACGACAGATAGACAAGTCAGGTAAAATTATGTTTATATTTTAGAACACTGATTAATCTATTAACTTTGTACCAAGAGGTGATTGCCATACTTTGTGGTGTTCTGGTCTATTCTGTTAAATTTAGAAGTATGATACAAATGATTAAGTGCCTCGCTCGTGCAAACTGTATTATATTTATATTTATAAACAAGGTTCGCTTTCACAGATGTGATGTCTCATCAGACAAAATTTTAGCATCCTTTAAATCAGGATGAACATGCATTGTATGGGTATGCCACCCATTTATATATATAATGTTTGACACCGGATTCTCTGAAAGGGTACGTCACCTATTTATTTAACAGCCTTCTGTCGATTATCTTAATTACTGTAATCAATTACTACTTTGGGTACTACATTGTTAAGAGATTTGTAAAATGCAAATACGGAACATCATTTGTGTTACGTCATTATTGAATTGTTATTAATATTGGTTTATATTATGTTGTATACAACGCTTTATTTGTAATATCAAATAATTATCATCCATCATCCATTCGGTGCACATGGCCTATCCAGCGAAGGCGTCTCTGACAGAGGAGGGCTAGCTACGAGAACGTAGCTAAAAGCGTTGAGATATACTGATGTGTTTGTTTTTAGCTACGATTGGATGCCTTTAGTTCCAAGTGGCAAACTCAGTTTCTTTATTAATGCACGTAACCTAGTAAAAATAAGATACTTTTATAATATTATGACCAATTAAAATTACGGAGGCCAATGTAGTGGCACAACTATCGCCTAACTTCGAATATTCGCGTTTAAATTAATGTAGCGTTGTTTTTATCCGTTTAAAAATGGCGTTCCTAGTAACGGCTTAGCGCCTTAATTTTAAATACGATGATTTATATCTGTTTCAGGTAGGATTGTAATGCTTAATTGTAGTTGGATGTGGCTGAAATATGATACATAACAATAATCAATCGTTGTTTAGTTGAAAACTATTGTCAATTTTGCTTACTGATTCTCGATGCGATTCGCGTTGGGCTTCGGAATACCTCTGTATGAGATGACTGGCCTTTATAAGTTCAAATGTCTTCTACATGTGACGTCACATCACGTAACGTAGATTATTGGCTCGATAGCACGTGCATTGTTTACATAACCTGAACACGCGCTGTATATACCCATTTACACTAAATAGGAGATATTTTTTATCCAGATATACTTCAAACATCATTATTTTTTTCTAATACTTAAAAAGAAAATGATGTTCTAGAATTTAATTTGCAGAGGAAAAAGTTAATATTGCTAGGTAATTAACCACCCCCGATGTCACCCCTCTCAGTGGTTGTATCGTCCTAGCCAATTGTCCCTGCAGATCAGCCTGAGCTTCCATATGCAAATGAGAATTGTGGAAACAATGAAAGGTACTCGTTTGTTTTTTTTTTAAAAAAAACAAGAGCTGGCCATGACATAGAAGAAAATTTGCAATAGAGAATTTTACAAAAATGAAAAAAAAAACAAAGTAATATCAAAAGACATTGTGAATTTATTGGCGGGAAAAAATATGAACTTTAAATGTGGGTGTGTTTACTCATTCATTTCCATTAAGGTAATCCCGCTAATGTGACATAAATTTGCCGGATTCGTCAAAAGGACGATTATGTATGTTTTTAAATATACTATTAAAAAAAACTAGGGGATATTTGATTTTTAAGTGTTATTAAAGTCACCTAATGAAATTGACGAAGAAACAAATGACAAAATGAAATGAAGTTCACATTCATCGATTTATTCCAAATGATCGTTAGACTAAGTAAGGCACAGACTGACCATTATAAGGGTAAAATGATACCCGGGGTCAAACAGCAAAGTTACCACAGCATCACAACCAAGTCAGTAACGGGTAAATCCACCTCTGTTTGCCAAACAAGCATTGATCCGACGTGGCATACTCCTAATGAGACGTCTAAGGTCATTTTGGTCCAGATTGTCCCATTCCTGTTGCAACGCAGCAGCAAGTTCTTGGGCATTGGCAGGACGTTGTTGACGTTGACGTAACCTCTGTCCAAGCATGTCCCAGACATGCTCGATGGGGGAGAGGTCGGGACTCAGTGCTGGCCAAGGTAATGTGGTGATGTTCTGTTGTTGGAGGTAACCTGTAACGATCCTGGCCCTGTGACATTTTGCGTTGTCATCCTGGAAGATGAAACGGCGGCCATGACGTCGTGCGAACGGCACAACATGGACTGCCAAGATGTTGTCCCGGTAGTACTGGCCTGTAACACGCCCTGCAACAACATGTAAAGCCGTTCTTCCAGCAACAGTGATGCCTCCCCACACCATAACAGAACCACCCCCAAATCGATCATGTCTGATGACGTTAACGTTTTGGAAGCGCTCGTGTCGACGACGCCACACCCTCCTACGTCTGTCCAAAAAATCAACAGTGAACCTTGACTCATCTGAAAACATCACATTGCTCCAGCGTCGATTATCCCAGTGTTGACGATCCCTACATCAACGACGTCTTGCCTGAATGTGATGATCTCTCAAACAAGGGATCACGCGAGGACGTCGGGCGCGAAGGTGACCCCTATGCAGTCGATTCCGAATCGTCTGGCCACTCACTCTCACACCAGTGTCTGTTTGAAGACGAGCGCTGATCTGATTTGCTGTGATGACACGATTTCTCAAGGCCAAGGTACGGATAAATCGATCCTGGGCTTGAGTTGTCGACCTGAGCGTGATCTGTCCTGTACAGATTGTGTATCACGGTATCTGGACCATAGCCTGCTTATGATAGACTGAGAAACATTCATCGTCCGCGCCACAACCGCCTGTGTTGTGCCGATCTGTAGCATGCCAAGGGCACGTAACCTTTCATTTTGGGTAAGCCGACGCATATCAAAATTTGTTTTCTGGTCACTAAAACAATTAAACTGATGTTTCCACCCTGGAATTCAATGCCACAATGACTGTAACATTCAAAGTCAGAGTCGTGCAAATCTTGGGTTGGACCCCCATGATGATCCCAAGCATCACCTGCATTCCATGCGGTAGCTATTGGTGCGTTTGGGCGTCACATGTAACTGGAAATGTTTCTTCTGTTAGGTTCTATAGTGACTTTTTTCGTAGTCATTTGCATATTTTAGTATTATGCCCCCAAAATCAAATATCCCCTACTTTTTTTGAATAGTATACTATATATGGCGTTGTGGTAATACTTATACTTACACAGAAAATAAGTTGCTAATCCTGCAATAAGCACACATAGTAGAGGTATTAGTATCATTGGTATCAGAAAGCGAAATTTTCCTTCTAGAATAAAAAAACAACATTTCCTTAGAATGTTAAATACATATTTAGCTTGTGATAATATGAAACTACAGCGAGTTTAATACCATTATATAGTTATTGAAAAACATTATAATAATCATACACTCTAAAAACTACTGCGAGCTTAATACTATTATATAATTATTGACACCTTTATAATAATCACATTTATACTTACTGCGAGCTTCCTTCTTACGTAGTTTTACAATAGCAACTATAATGACTACCACGGGAACAAGTACAGAAACACCAACTACTATTCCAGTAATTTCCGGACAAGTCAGACCTGGTGAATTATCGGTTTCCACGACTTTGACTTGAAATAAAAGAAGTTAGATTATTTTATTATTTAATATTGTGTTGACTGGTTTTGATTATGACGACCTGGCTTTGTTGAAGATTATAAAAATATACAGATAAAGTTTTATAACTGATATTGTATTACACTGTTGTCATTACTCCAAAATACAACTTAAACTTTCGAAACATTTTTTCTTTCTCAAAATTCCTCCATTGCTAATTGCAATAACACAACTGATTAACTCATCTATTTTGATATATCGTCTGGTGAATCTATTTCTTTTCTAATACTTACAAATGTAAATAAGCACTGAAATGTGATTCGTGAGAAACTAGTCTATTGTAAGGTGTCCAACCGTAAATAAATATCTCGACAATTACACCATAATATATATATATATATACTCAGCCAAATCAAAAACTTGACACTCGGGATTTTTGGGACTAGATTTTTAATATTTGGTTTAAGGCAACTATTTTAGTGTTATGTTGTGCACAGACGACCTTGACATCAACAGAAAGCAAGAATACGTCTCGCCGAAAGTCCTTGACATTGATAACGTTCGTGATGTCACAGTACCCCCCAAAATGAAATTCACAGACTTGGAGAACAATCGGAATAAAGTGTTTAGTAACGGTTGTGGCCTCCTCTAGCGTCTCGTACTGCCACACAACGTCTTCTCATGGATCTCAGAACATTAGTAAACACTACCCGAGGAAGACGTCGCCACTGCTCAGCAAGAGCATGTTGAAGGTCCTGCAACGTCAGTGGTGGATTCACTTGCTGACGAACACGTCGCCCCAGTTCGCCCCAGATGTGTTCAATAGGATTAAGGTCGGGGCTAAGCGACGGCCAATCCAGGACTTGGACACCGGCATTTCTTAACCAATTCTGGGTAGCAATTGCTGTATGGGGTCGAGCATTGTCTTGTTGAAACGTTAGTCCAGGTCATTTTCTAACAAAGATGAAAATAAAAAATTTTAATTTTTTTTTTCAGTTCAAGTTACGCGTGCGTGTTCAGTTTAAGCAAACGTTGAAACGTTAGTCCAGGGCATTTTCTAACAAAGATGAAAATAACAATTTTAATTTGTTTTTCCAGTTCAAGTTACGTGTGCGTGTTCAGTTTAAGCAAACTTGCATCGATTGACCTTACGAGTTTGTGTTTTGCAGGTGTTTCATCTTTATATGCTCAAAAATCACGTGATCCACGTGACTTTACAATTTTATGAAATTAAAGGCTTCTTACTACTTACTATCGTTAGAAACACTTTAAAATTTATTTGACTTACCAGAAAAAAAAAATTGTTGAAATTCATCAGTGTCAAGTTTTTAATTTGGCTAAGTATATATATATAGTCACAAAATAAACGGTCAAGCTGTATGGAAGGGTATCGCTGCCAATATTAAATGCTCTGCGACAATGTCGTTTCCATTGATTATATGTAAAAAGTACAATGTGCAAAGTCCTAATACCGATATTGATAAAGTCAAAATACATTTAAGGCAAGAGTTAAATGTAAAACGTCAAATGTTAAGTGTTAAATGACAAATGTTTTGTTGGAAAATGCCTTTTTTGACGTGTCTACATTTTACATTTCTCTCATTACATTTTACATTTGCGCTCTACAACATCCCATTTGTCCTTCACGCTTTCTACATAGCAACTTTGGCACATCATCAACTTGCATATGCAAATGTAGGATATCACGTGACTTATTAACATATATGGAAACCCGGCACGAGCACACTATAAGGAAATCAAGCTGGCACACCATAAGAAACTATCTAGACGACCGTGCGTAATTTTGAATGTGCCAGGGATTAATTGATAGATTCAAGCAGCCAAAGAAACATACTTTCCAGTAATTTATAACACAATAACTGGAATTTCGTATTAATACCCGTTTTTTGATATTTTAAACACCCCCACTCTTTCCGGTCTCTCTATAAACAGAGTTGAGTAGCCTACTTAAAAAAAACAACAATATACTGTATAAGCATTGTGCCCAACAAATAAATAATATATTTAAAGAGAGGAATGACTATATATCTTTTAGTATGGACATAGAGAATTTTTGATTAAGCCCTGTATCTTTATTTTAGTTTAGTTTAGTCCCCCCCTCCCCCCTCTTCACTTTAACTTGGAGTGTAAAATTTGACAATGTTGTTGTTGTTAGTGTTTAACGTCCGCTTCCACCGAAGGTGATATCGCAGACAAGTTGTCTTTTTTTTTATTTTCATTATCTTAGCGCACGCGCATGGGTCTTTCCTGTGGGAGGAAACCGGAGTACCCGGAGTAAACCCACGAGGTTGAGAAGGCGCCCCTATCTCCAAACCACATCCGCTCACACCAGGGATCGAAACCACAACCGCAAGCCAGAGGTGACCGGCCAGCTAGAGGTCGAAGCGTGACACTCTAGACCACTAGGCCATCCCAACCCCCCTTTGACAATGAACCCCTCCCACGTTTATGGCGCTATTGCGTGTCGCATGTGCAGCTCAGTGGTTCTGTTGGGGCGATAATTTCTTCATTTGTGAACATACTCTCAAAGCATGTCAAGTGTCTATGACTATTTATCATATCACAACCTGCACAGGTATTTGCATTTCAATATACCCTACTTTTGTTTTGAAGAGTATATAAAAGGAATTTTGATCCGTCAATTAATTGATTCAATTAAATTGTTTCAATTAATTCGCCGTCAATGTCCTCATTACACGTTCAATTTAACGGACGAAACAATTGAGTGTGTATGGGCCGCGTTACGACCTCCTTCTCTGTAACGCATTGTTTCGGCCCACAATTCACCTAGACGGCTTTGGTCGTGTTTAGCTGGCGAGTAGGCGCATCTTTTCCATTATTTTCTAATATATTTGTTGCAGGTCCACCTTGGTGTCCTACGTGTCTACTCTAAAGCAGCAGCTTGGGTCATCTAGGTAGTGTAAAATATTAAACCGTTAGTTTGTCTAGGCATATCCCTGTCTGTCCCGGTAATGCGTATGCTCTGGTTATCCGCGCAGTAGCCTGCAGAGCAGACAGGGGTGAATCTTTTTAATTACGCAAATGGCTTCTCAAACAAAGACGACTCGTACGACAAAACGCATGTCGACCAAGGATTTAGAACCATTCCATTACCGATAGTAAACGAGTGTAAGCCTTATCTTCGTTTTACGACACGGAAAAGCGAGGCTACTTTCTGTTTTTTTAGTTTAGTCAGTCGTAAGGGGAATGACCATGTGCGCTTTATGACCGAGCTGAAGATTTCGAAACTTTAGGACCATGGAGGCATACAAATTCGGTAACTACAATTGTATAATCTTTCATATATATAATATAATCAGCATTTCGTAGCATATTTGTTTTTTTTATTATTAAGATAATGTGAGTTTTGCTTGTGCACGCTGGTTTGTATTTCTTCAACTAGCCCGCCCACCATTTGCATTAGTTACCTGTTATTCGACCTAGTATTTGCATCCACGAATTAAAACACGCCGGATAACCCAACCATTTCACCAACACTTTGTCTTTTTTCTTTCGAGTACTCTTTCAATGGGAAAGAGCTCGTCGTCGTTGACCTGAACCGCTTGCAATTCTTCGGGATAGAAGGTGCCCTAAATGTGTTCGCCTCTTTCGTCCAACCGACGTTGGGTGCGACGTTGAACGTTTCCAGAGTCCAGTTCGGCCAGTAACCTTTGTCGAAGGCACCGTGTTTCGGCAAAGCCAAACGTACGGTCGTACCGATGTCCATTGTTCTCTTTTTCTTTTTGAGGGGGCGTGGAGGTGTTGTCAACATCCATTCGTGTTCCGGACGAACGTCTTTTGGTGCCATGCCGATGGTCCGATGTCGTCTGGCGTTGTAAGCCCGAACCAATTCATCTAGCACGTCGATGTACAGTTGGGTTTGTCGATGAGTAAAGTATCGCCACATGCGCTCTTTCAGTGTCGGTTGAAATCGTTCCACCACACTGGCCTTGGTTTCGACGTTGTGTGTCACGAAAAAATGATTTTGTTCTTTTTTAGGTAAGCTTGCATTTTTCGATGGAGGAATTCGGTGCCTTTGTCCGTTTGAAGCCGTTGGGGTTATCGACTTTGAAAGATTCGACGAAAGGCGTCCACCAAACTGTTTCCCGTCTTGTTTTTGAGGGGCAACACCCAAGCGTACTTGGAAAACACGTCAATGACGCACAGCAAATACTTGTATCCCTCATTGTACTGGGCCAAGGCCGACATATCGCTCATGTGTGGGGGACCGAGAGAATTACTTTTTCAGTGGTTTGTGCAAGGTGTACGGCCTTTGGTGTTTCCACCATGTTTTGACTTTGTCCAGGGGCACACCGGTAGCTTTGTAGAGACCCAGGACTCCACCGAAAGCGGCCGGGTGTTTCGGGGCGTAATAGACTTTCTTCAGCTTTCGTTCCATGTTTCAGCAGATTTCCATGTGATCAGGCATAGTTTTTGCAAGGGGAGCCATCTGGCTCGTCTGGTAGGTGTACTCGTAGTAGGGATATCCGTACTTAAGATTTTCTTCTTTCTCGGACGTCGCGGCGGAACGGGAGTCCGTGCGGGTTGCGTGGACAACGCGTTCCATCGTTCTTGATTGCCGATGGCTTCGCGCGGTACTTTCGTGACTTTCAAACTTTGCATCACGCCAAACCATCCGTTGGTGCCGGGTACGGGTTCGCCATTCCGAAGCAATTCCAAGTTCTCGTTCCACGACCAAGGTGTTTTCTCCTTCAGATGTTTCAACAAAAGGCGAGCTCGATGTTGAAAGACCCGAGGGACCGACTCCAGGATGGGTGCCTCCGAGACCACGGTTGCTTCTTCTTTTTGTTCGGGTATTTTCTCGTCCGACAAGGGAATGACCTGCTTTCTTTTCCTTTGTATCGTTTGATAACGTTGTAACAACTGTCCGTATCGTTGCATTTTATTTTCGTCGGTCAGTGTGGATCGTTTAACACGTGTTGCATGTCTTGGTAACCATTTTCGACGGCCTGCTCCAGTGGATCTCGATCGTACGCGGGTTCCACTTGTCTGACTTCGATGGGTTTGACGTCGGTGGTACCGTCCAAGGGCACCAGTTTCATTTTCTTGGCGAATTTCATCTTTCGGAAAGGACCGGACCAACCGGGTGAAGAAGTCTTCCAAGGTGTTTTAGACGTGTCGTAACTAGGGGTGTACTTTTTCAAACGTTTGACCACGTTCTCGGTCACAGGAACGTTGCCACGAATCAGATGTCCAATACACTCACACACACCGTCGACGATGGGTTGGTCCTCGAGCAGAAGAGGGTGGTTTTTGGGTGCAGTGTTCAATAGGTACCGCAGTGTGTCCATGACTGAGCTCGGGGCCGTTCTCCGGTTTCCTTTTTATACCTTTTCTCTCCATAGGTTATCCGCCAAATAATGTAGATAGCTCGGCGGCCATAGCGTTCGCTCTATCGCTACTTTTAAGCCAGGGATGTTTACCACCCTGTTGTCCTCCCAATAGTTTAGATACCACGAGGGCACCACCCTGTTCATCGAGAAGTCGCTGTTTGACGCCGGGTGATGTTCGTGGATTAGTCAATTTGCGAAGCAATGCATGCTGTTGGTTCAACTCCTCGGTACTCAGACCCCTTGCGCGCTGAACGATCCGTCGAACGAATTTATTTCTTTTCTTGTTTCTTTCATCATGCAGTCTTTCCTTCCATCGCAGCAAGATACGAATCAACACCCCCCCCCCCGCGAAAAACCCTCGTCCTCCAGGTTTCATGATCAGAGAGAGTTTTTCGGCAGTCGGCATGTTTCTCTCCGTCACTTGGGTCGATTTCGTTCCACCCATTTCTTGTGCTGGTCATGCAGTGGTTGGATGTTATCATTCAACAAGTGGTTGGCCGCCAACTGCAACAATCCAATACGTGCCCTACCCGTATTCTTGACCAACTGTCCATCAGCCATATCGGGAGTAAGATGTTGTAACTTGCGGATGAAGGACATCAGTCCTTTCATAGAACTCTTTTTTTCTCTTCGTGGTCTTCGAATGATCGGAGAAGGAGACCGAGTAGGGGATCTTGTGTGGCGTGGGGGTGTGACCGGTAAGGTGAGACGTGGTGGTGTGGCCGGTAAGGGAGACATGGGGCTCCCGGGTGGTGTCAACGAGGGCAACCATTGTGATGTGGGTGCCCTCATTCTCGGACGAGTCTGCCTTTGTACCGTGGGATCGCGAAGGTCCGGTGCCAGGATCGGGAACGTCGCTCTGGGAAGGGTTGGGGGTGGGTGTTTCCGCTGCGTATTCTTCGTACGAGCCATCGTGACTAAAAGAATCCATTCGAGGGTGTAGATCCCCTTTATACCTTTTGGACGTAGGCGATGTGCGGTTCCTCTTGGGGTAAAATGTTGGATCTCAAGCGCTTAAGCTTCGGGTGTGTCGGGTTTCAAATCAATGAGTAAGTAACTACGAGGGGTACTCGTCGCATCGGCATAAGCTTCCTGTATATACTTGTTATGGGAGGGATACATCTGACGGGCCAACACGCCAATTTGTGAGGCGTCTCGGGGATTTTTTAGACAAGACCAAGTAATGGGCATTCAGACTGATGGTACGCTGTTGCTTGTCGAACAAGTTTTGCACAATGTAGATGACACTCGTGTCGTGGTGATGGCTCTTTTTCGTGAACCACTTTTGCCATATCTCCATGTCTTCACCAATCAAATCGTCCACGACCAAGACTTGTGGACGCTTGACTTGATCTATCACGTCGTCAATGTCTGTCAAACCTTTGACATAAGTGTGAGGAAAGCGATCGTAACTCTCTTCCCATTCCCCGTAGGCCGACACGATGCGCTGGGAAGCGATGTCGAACAGGGACGCTTGGAGAAATTTATGTACAAAGACCGTCTTTCCAACACCCGTTGGACGGCTGACTAACATGGTAAAGGGGTGTTTGAACGCCACATCCATCTTGCACTGTTTCCCACTGCCTTTTCCCCTGTTACTACTAATTGCTATTTCGTTCATAAGTAAGTTCATCCAGATTTTCCGGCGTGGTTCTCCTGTGTGAGTGATGCAGAACAGACGGCCTGACAAGGACAGCTTTCTAGTCGTTATGGTGGGACGTAAAACAGAGGTCCAGCGTATACATTGGCATGCATGTAAAAGATCCCTTGGCAGCTGGCATTCGTTATAATAGTAGGCCATAGTGCCGCTGCCCGGGCAAAATTCCCCTCACAGCACATGCGACACTATGGGGGAGGGGGACAGATGTGACTATCCTTCGTCACGGCACCTAAAATAGGTAATGTGGCACTATCCTGTTCGCGGTCTCCAGAAAACGGCCAGTAACACTATCCGTCGACTCGGTAGTACTTTCACGTTGCAAATAAAACTTCAAAGATCAATTGGCTCTGGAACACTTTGTTGTTAAAACTATGGTCATATATCAAATACAGAAAACTACAATATCTATGATTGTACATTAGGAGTTATTATAATATCTACAATTTAACAAGCCTAGCACTCAGACCTTACGGCTGAAACACTACATTGTCTCTATCCAATCCCCGAACCAGAAGCTGAGGGTACTTCCTAAAAACCCGGCATGATGTCGGTAGCCTGGCCTCTAAGCCGAGGTAGCTAGTCGTACCGCTAGGAACGCCCGATGATGTCTAAAGGCAAAATAAGCCCACTCCTTATATAAGAAGTATAGATACTTCAGCTATAAGGGCGGGGCAATAACCATTTTGGGGTAAGAGTTTCGTATCGGCACCGTTTTACGTCAATATTATTCTATTTAATTGCGATATTACACTACGGGGGGGGACGTGACTATCCTTCGGCACGACACCGAAAAGCGGCACCGTGACACTATCCTGTCCACGGTGTGAGGAGTATTAGATCATAAGGTTTGTCATTGAGTCAACTGGCGTGGTTTCGATTCCCCGCTAGTACGTGACAAGAAGTAGGATCGCCAGTTCAACCTCTTTTTTTTTCTCCATGTCTTAAGGTTGCTCCAATTACCAAAGACCCTGATGCATAAGAGAAGGATTCAGGTAAAATGAAGATACTCCCCGGTGTGACAAGGAATAGGGTCGCCTGTCCAACCTCGAGGGTTTTCTCTGGGTTCGCCGGTTTCAACCCACTGCTTAAGACCCCTACGCGCTAGCGAATTATTGAAATAAAATTGAACCATGTGTTAGTCCCGAAATGAGCCAGTTTGTGTCTAGTGGCCGTTAAACCCCAATCTCTCTTTGAAACGTCCTCAATAACTGGCGACAAACCATAAGAAACTTAACTGTGTCTACACGTCATTCTGGGCAGAGATCTATTCAAAAAGTAGAATGGCGACACGCCTCCAAATATATTATGCCATTTTGAGACAAAAATCAATCAAATCCCAAAATAAAAACAAATGTCACAAAAATGCAATTAAACTTTGAAAGATCACTTTCTCTTCGTTAAGCCACGGACATAAACACAAGACTGTAATTAATTTGTGAAGTCAATGATACAAATGTTTGTAATATTTACCATCGTCATCAACTGTCAATTGACACTGACAAAACTGCCCATCAGCCGGTATCACTCTACATATGTATGTTAAATTAAAGTCACCTGGGGTTTTATTACTTAAAAGTAGAGTTATCTTCCTTTTTTTATCAGCCAGATCTGTTATGTTAAATACTACCCTGTCTTTAAATAATGGATCATTTTCAAATTTATTCTGATACCAATACCCCAGATCATCTCCCTGTTAAAGATAAAAACATATATGTTGTCACCGACTAACAATTACATTTTCGAAGCAACGGCAACGATGTCTTCATTGACTTGCAAAATAATCGGAATAGTAGATACATCTTCTGAATTGTTAAAATAACCAAAATAAACTAGTGTGTCCATTTTCCAGTTGAGTATTCTCCGAAAAGAGGGTTGGAACCAAAGTAAAAAAGAAGCAATTGATTAAATTCTTTGACTTAGATTTGTATTCAGGAATAACTGCCATTCACTCACCTTCTTTCCAGCGCTATCGATCCTCGATAAGATAACTGCTGTAATCGGGTATCTATATTGATACATCCACGTAAATGTTAATGTGTTGTTATAGTACTGTAGCCTTTCTCCTTTACATGCTGATCCTAGATTAAAAGAGGAGTCCCTATGTCTAGACCAGTGTTTGCCATCCATTTATACGATCACTATTGGACAATCGATTAAATGAAATTTGGATGTATTTTTCCATCAGTAACTTATTTAAATGTTGCTACTAATTTAGTAGGTGAAAAGAATATAGATCCCATAGATCCCAGTAACTTATTTAAATGTCGCTACTTATTTAGTAGGTGAAAAGAATATAGATCCCATGAAGCATTCACAGAAAAACATGTGGTTTAATTCCGTACAAGGTTCTATAAATGCATGCCAATATTACAATATGAAACTGATTGAAATACATGTAGTAGCATTGAAATGTTGAACAGATAGTATAACAACTACATCCTCATTTATTAAATTTAAATCTTACTTTCAGCCACGAGTTCAACACCTTGTTTGTAAGAGATGCGATCATCATAGAAGACATGACAGTAGTAGATTTTATCAAAATCATCATCTATCGTTTGTTTTAATTCAAGGCTGATCCTTTCTCCACTTTCGTTGTTTATGGATATTTTTTTCAGTACCAGTTCAGTTGAAAGATCCACTCTGTTTTGTTTGAAACCTTTCTCACTCGTCCACATACCAATTTTAATAGTCTGTACAACAAACAAAAAACAGTCAGGGGTCAGATAGATTATTGCCGTCTAATTACACGGTTTAACAGAGTCTAGATATAATTCAAACATAGACCAAGTTCGATGATTAGTGAATTAAAACGAACAGACGGAATCAGTTATTGTTATCAACTGCAGTAGAGAGGGGAAACAGCTTCACTGACGATGGTCAGCTCCCGGACAATTCCGCCCCAAGGCGACCCATTGTAATTAGTCCTGTGAGAGGATATCAGTTGGAAGCGGTGAACGGAATTACATTGTTATGGGGCATGTTATTTTGAAAATCTGAGTTGAAAGTCATGGCGTACTCCAAGCAGTGTTTGATTTATCTCCAAATTAAGCAATACTTTTCTGTAAGGTCGACGTAAACACTTTTATATACCTATTAGGGTCATACCTTTAAGACAAGATACGAACTGGCTTTATTGTGACACATTTTCATGTAAGCTTGTATAGCTCAAAGTAATATCTGCTGTACACTATCATTAGAAAAAAGGTCATAGAAATATACGAACTGGTTTTATGCTAATAACGATTATGGACACCTATAATAAGTCAATTAATTAAAGCTTATCTTACATGGTTTGTTATTTTATGTTCTCGACTGAAGATGATTTTGTTGATCAACTTGTCAGTTAGATATTCCCAGTTTAACATCACATCTTGACTAAGAGTATAAATTACAGGTTCTCGAGTTCTTGGTATCCAAGTGAAATCTGAATTAAATTGTAATTTATTACAAAGTATTCGTTTCTGACAATAGTTTTTCTTCATCAAATTAATAGTTAAAAGATTTACGTTTAATGGGATGAATTGGGCGGGGAGGGGGGTTGGGGGTAAATTGCTACTTTTCTGTACGAATCTATGCTAATGCAATCGGGAATACGTTATTCACTGTGATATGGGGGACAATGTATCCGGACAGAGGAGTTTCGGTCAACTATTTATCGTGCACACCAGCGTGTACACAGGACTTCGATTTTGCGTCTCACCCGAACAACTTGACGTTCTGTCTTGCCAGGTCCCTCATCTATTACGTCATAGTGGCACCATAGCGTAATATCGAGTCAGAAAACCAACGTCATTACGCAATATCGAGTAAGAAAAACAACAAATTAAATATAAATGCCTTTAATACGAAAGCCCAGAAGGCTCATTCCAAATTCCAAATTCCAGATTCCAAATTCCAAATGCGAAATTCCAAATTCATGTCTTACCGATAAAATAGCAAATTTGCAACCCCCCTCAATTAAACAGACAGACAGACAGACATAAATGGGAATTAACGTCCACTCGACATAAACTAGGCCATTTTGGGACTAACATAGACAGACAGAAATGGGGTTTAACGTCCACTCGACTCAAACTAGGTCATTTCGGGACTAACATATGGTTTTTACTTTTATTTACATAATTCGCTTGCGCGTAGGGGTCTTTAGCAGTGGGAGGAAACCGGAGGACCCGGAGAAAACCCACGAGTTGGGGTTGGACAGGCGACCTACTCATTGTCACGTACAACCGGGGATTTGAAACAACGCCGGTCGACTCAATGACACAGCGCGCGCACGCTAACCATTCAGCCACCCCCCCCCCCTCAATTAAACAATTTAGAATTTATATAAATTGTAATTTTACACAACTAATTACTTCTAGTTTAACCCGTTCCAAATTACAAATTCCAGATTCCAAATTACAAATTCCAGATTCCAAATTACAAATTACAAATTCCAATTATGATCCGACCAATCGGATCAGGTTTTTGCTTTTGACTAATCAGTGAGAGTATAATAACAATATTCCAGTTCGGGTTTGCTTCGGCAGATGTGAACAGTTTGGGGCAAAGTTCCTCTGCAGTGAGTTACTCTCTGCTACTCGGTATCTTAGGACTGGCATTTTTTTTTTTTTTTTTTTTTGCTACAGCAGTAAATTTGGAATTTGGAATCTGGAATTTGAAATGAGCCTTCTGGGCTTTCGTACTTTAAAGGCGTTGAAAGGCCTAAGATATGCACTTTCAACACCAATCTGATTAAGACTTTGCACATATGTTCCATGTGTAAAATAACCCAGAGGACACATAACAGTCCGACCGTTTGTTGTGTAATAATGGAGTAACAAGCGGAAAGAAAGGGGCTATTTATAGCAAACGAGAAGGTTTTTGAATAAATTATGACGTCGTATACACCGGTAACGTCATCCGCTGTAAACAATCATGGCCATGTCCAACAGCAGTTTCACACTGGATCATTCACGTCTATCTAGATATGACGTCAGAAGGAATTCCTTCTAGGACGCGATTATCCAGGTTTACCATCTATCGCGATTTGAACGTGGCTGAATTTCATTTTTTGATGGTCGAAGACTGCTATTTTTGAATGTATAAAATGATTTTTAGAGCTGCCGAGTAGTGAACTGAAGTAAATATTTACTTTTTACGTCCGAATTGTTGTATTTTAAAACTTGATGTGGAAGTATTCAAAGAATAAACCCAAAATCACAAAACCTGTGGCTTTTTTTGACTGACTATTAGCATTGTTCATACCAAATTTAAAAAAAATCCATGCAGGCATAACTGAGAAAATTTGACTTTTATTGTCATCGGCGCCCTTTATTATCATGCTTTTGGGCCAAGTTTGGAACATAGTTGGTAAATAAAATTGGTATTTTTGTGGTGATTAATATGTAATTTACCACCCAAAATAACAAAACATGTCATATCTTATCAACACAAATTACAGTGCTAGCTTTAAAATGTGCATTTTAGACTGCTCAACGCCCTAAAAATTAAAGTAAGAATAAATGGAGGTATATATTAAGTATTTTGTTTACATTATACACTGCCTTAATTATGGGTAGGTGATAGTAATATTAGCTAACGAAATTAATATTGAACTAGTTGTTGCACATAAAGAACCTAGTAATTTTGCAGAAGATCTAGAATCTTCTCTATGTTCAGGTGTGTGAAGCGCTTGATTTCAATATGTCCCCAGATGCACTCCACACATCTAATTCATTCACAGAGACTGATGTTGAAAAACTTTTATCAGAAGTGACGAAGTGACAACCACCATCAAAGAGCCCTAACTCAATAGCTATGCCAGATATGCCAGAAATTTTACCAACATTTTCTGTTTACATTTTTTAAGCGAAATGATCCACATAGTGGCAATCAACCCCCAGCAGAACAGAAACTCAACAATCGTAAGATACATTATGCAGTCTTATTAGCGGAATGGACACAATTGTTCGAAGAAAAGTGGTGTTCACTTAAATGTACATCCTCGAGGAAATGAGAAAAGAACAAAAAATAAAAAAATAAAATCCTACGGTGAAGAAAAGAAAATTATGCGATGGCAATCCTTGAATATATTACTGCGGTCTCTTCAGTAAGTCTAAACCAGGCGAATCCTTGATTTAGTGCATATCATGCACAGGATGGGTGCACGAAATTTGTGCAGAATTTGAAAGCGAAAGATTTGCTTGTGAAATGTGTTCTTAATTTTAACATAACTAATCAGTTTAGTTTAAACTGACTATTTGAGTGTTTCCAGTTTTAACTACTTTGTTTGGTGCGGTCCTCCTGGATTCTCGAAGGTTGGGGTTGATTATGCGCGACCGTTACATGTGAAAGGTATATCTAGTGGACAAATGAAAAAGGTGCTTATCGCTTTATTTACTTTGTGCTAGTACAATGCTTCGTCAGAGCTTTTTATCACGTGTCTTTTATTAGAGTTATTGGTCGAAGAGATCCGATAATGGGAAAACTTTTAAGAGTTCAGAGATACACAGTTTTCTGGCGTCGAATAGGATACGCTGGTATTATAATATTGAGCGCTCGCCCTGCTGGGGAGGTTTCCTTGAGAGAATGGTAAGATCTACAAAGCATTGTTAAACGAAGACAATTGTTACAGCTAGAATATCTTATGGAGAACTGTTGCCTTTAACTATAGAGATAGAAGGTTTTAAAGCGAATAAAGATTGTAGAAAAAGAAATTATTATCTGAATACAGTGTTAACCCACTTTTGGAATAGATGGTGGAAAGTCTGTTTAACAGATTTAAGAGATCACAATCGACCCATAACCAAGAAACGTTATGTAGTCGTTGCCCAGGAAGATTAAATCTCAAGATTAACCTGGGTTATAGCTCATGTAAGGAGAACGTTTGAAGGTCGTAATGACAATATTCGTGCTGCGGAAATTCGTGTACATGATAAACTCGGTAGACCAACAGCGACGAATCGTCCATTTCAAAAGCTGTTTCCTTTAGAATTAGTTACAAATCCTTTGAGCATTGAAATGTATATTCTTTGTTTTCAAACAGTAATTTGATAACTACTAATGTCAAGTTTTAAGATAGTCAAGTTTCAGTCTATTTTAAAGTGTAGAGTGTGTAGAGTTAAGATCCTGATAATAGCTTTAAATTCCCTTCTATTATATTCTTGATTCTTGCTGGTGGTACTACTGTTCGCATTTATGTAAAATTTGTCGATACAAAATTTTAGTGGGAGTGTGTTAAGAAAATAGCTTATCAGCAAGACATAAAATACAGTCCTCATGAGTAAAGGGGGATAACTCCACTTTGCAAGTAAGCGGAGTTGTCTCACTCTTAGATTTTGTTTCCTGACTACTAGATAGCAAGAGTTTTAGATGGCGTGATTTGTTGCCACGTACACTCCGATTGTACCTGATGTGTAGTGTGTCTTATAGAATCTTTAAAAAAAATATAACATAACAGGGTCTAAACAATAGCAGTTGAAGCTTTCGAAATTTCGTCGTTGTCAGTTTTAGTTTGAAAATTGTAAAACTTTTGTCATTTATCAAAATATTCAAATTTTGCCTTCACTTTGGAATACCGGAAGTCAATACGATTCTAGTAATATCAGTTTATGTAGAGTCATGTCCCCTTTTTCACATACTTGGGTAGAAGATAAAATAAAAGTCTGAATCTTAGAAAATCAAACCCCTTGAATATTTGATTATTTTTAATTGCAAGGTAACAAATAATTGATTATTTTTAACTACAATTTTAATTGCAAGATGACAAAGAATGTATCAAATCATTATTTAAATATTTCGAGAAACAGAATTATTAACGATATAGAGGTTCAAAAACCAAAATTGCCTACCCATTAAATATATCCTAAAATTATATAATTTTGTACTTTTCATAATAGGAGAGACCATCCGCAAACTACATGGTGATGGTCAGCGAGTATAAAACTGCATTCGTTTAATTCGACAGTAGATACATATGCCATGTAATTACATAAACTTAATTGAATAAATGAAATGAAATGGGGTATAGGGTCAAGGCTAATTTTTGTATTGTTTAAAATGTAGTGTGGGGAAATTACAAGATGCCCATATTTGCGTAATTATTGACGTCAATAGGCGCAAGTAACAAATCACTTAATTAATTGCATAAAACAGGGAATATGAAAAGCAAGATGTTTGCTCGACAGTGAGACACCACTTGATTCTTAGGAGAGCAATGATAGGTTTCCATCAGCAGACTCACTCTGTGAGTTTGGTGGGATTGAGACATGTAATTTTCATGTAGTATGTGCTTATAATCATGAATTCGGCTTTGACATAATGTAAACGATGCGCTTATATTAGAAAATCTTGTTATCGATAAGCAAACGATCTGACTGCTGTAAATACATACACAATGTTGGATTCCAGGAGGAAAGAATTACAATAATATTCGTACCAGAGATAAACCAGAGGTTAACAATAGATGTGTAGCAGGGAATGTAATAAATGTGTCGAAGCGTAGAGAAGAATTTAATTACTGTATTTTATCTGATATGCACATCACCAGTCGACAGATTTTTCAGAGAACATACCTCTAAATATCATTGATATATATTTCGCGACTAACATATGGTTCAATTTTATTTCAATAATTCGCTTGCGCATAGGGGTCGTTAGCAGTGGGAGGACCCGGAGAAAGCCCACGAGGTCGGACAGGCGACCCTTCTCCTTGTCACGTAAAACTGGGAAATCCAAATATCATGCTTTTAAACATGTTTTAGGTGGGTATTAACGCATAACAGTACTCTTATATCATATGGAAATGGTGATCAAAATCCATTGACTTTTAAAATTAGATGTCCATTTTACTGTAAAATACATTAATTACAATAGGGGTTGTTATTACAACAGGGGTTGTAACACCGTGGTGCCATGTTCGCCTTTTGTGTCATTGATACCATTTTATTCATTCCGAAATGATATAAACAAATAAGCGTGGGGGATTAACTCTTGAATCATGCCATTGTAGACGCTGAAGGCACTATTTTCCCTTTTTTCAATCGACTAGGCCTTGATTCCACTAGTGAAAGCTCCAGAAGGGGCGTGCTGACACCAATGCGGTGATTTGAAAGCCTTTGACCCGATTTAAGACTTCCACATTTATATACAACAATAATGTGAAATATTCTGACATCCAGGTCTAGGCTATTGTTCCAGTTATCGATAAGTATTCACAGGTGTCGTACACGAGGCAGGCTATGCTGACTGGTTCTTGAACTCCCGGTACCACTTCTTATTCGAGTAACTAAAATAGCTATTGCTGAATTTCGTCCTGCTATTGCTATTTTAGATTAAATGAAAATTATCCAAAATTAATATCTTCGAAGGGGAAGCAACTACCAAACGGGGGTTAGCGTAATACTGATTATAGATGGGTTTCTGGGTGTTTTTCATCGTTTTATCTCGATAACTAGGTTATCAGAGGGGTTGGGGGTAACGCCGGAACTGGAGGCTGTGGAGCGATGAAAATCGACAGTGTTCGTAATCTGATCACACCAAATCTTTAAACTAAATTCGAAAATTATCCATTGAAAATGTAGCCTCCATCGCGTTAACAAAATCACTAAGGAAACATTGGAAAAACTGAAGGGACAGTCAATTGTTTAGATGGTATATAGCCCTAAGGTCTAGGGAACAGATACAATGTACAAGTACATGATAAATCTTTGCCACCTAGCTAAATTTTAACTGCCTGTTACGTAATTTGTGTAAGAAGAGATGACACCTCTATACGACGCAACTTCCCATTATACGATGCCATTTTCTGAGCTAGAATAATGTTCGCATGTTTGCCTCCATGTGTCAGAAAAGTAGTCCAAACTGGGAAATAAAAAACATACCTCAGTGGTCGTTACAATTCCGCCAAACTATAAAATGACACCAACAGGTCTACTGACTGCAGTCGACATTTTGACAGGAGAGGATACAAGACGTTAAATTAAATTGTGGGTCCTCTAGCGATCTTAATCTGAGGATTTTGAACATCTTTTGCGTGTGCATATCAAATAAAATAATCTTCCTGGTAGAATGTTGTAGCAAGATGTCCAAAATCCTCAGAGCTCAAGGAATGACTAAACATTTTAAAATATTATCAGGAAGTGACGTCATAGACGAGCATAGGCCCATATTAGACATCAAATGAAACTTTTTTTTATTTCCCAATCAATTATAATGCGGTTTTTAACAATTGGTAGTTGTTCGTAATTCACAAGTTTTGTAGAATAGACCGTAGTCTATACCATTGATACGTATGACCTAATTGTAAGTTTGAAATAGAAAACTGAGAAATTTCGAGTGTAACTCTTTCATTGTTGAAGATTTCGACTTGCAACTTCCAGAATCAGTTACAAATGGGTAGATTAAGCCAGAAATCTCAACAAAAACTTTCCGATTATCCGCCTTCTGAAAACGAGGACTTCTTTAATTTTGCCTTATTTAAAAATAATTGTCTAGAGCAATACCAACAGGTTAAAATTCATCGGAAGTGACACCATTTTGAAAATATAAGTAAATCTGTAAAATCTATCGTTTTTGAAACCATACCTTATTATAAGCAATGGAATTATGATATTTGACCTAGTTTGATGTTAAAGTGGCGACATCAAATTAAATAACAACAACTCTTTGTACATGTACTTCTATAATGTTTTTGTTGTATGTTTTGTCGATGTATATTTATTTATTAGGTTATAAACGCCGGGTTGATTTCCGCTCATGCCGTCATAATGTCCCGGTTCGATGGATTTCGAGAAATTTTTTTGAAGAAATGTTTTGCAAGATTTGTATTTGGTAATTGATTGTTCGAGATTTGTTATTCGTTGTATTTCTCTGATGAAATGTAGGCTTATTTTTTTGTTTTTGATTTTCTAATATAAATTTTATTTTTATATTAAAATACAATTAAGTTAAACGAAGATACATTTTACAAATTTGATTTATGAAGCAAATATTGATTTTAAGATACAAGTGTTAATTTCGGACTGGATTAAGAACTAAGAATTAAGAACACCGAATAAAGAGCTGTTTGGTCTTCCATACCTGACATAATAAGGAAATGTGGATCTATTTTTTTGTTTTCTCAAAATAATGAAATATTTTTCGTAAAAAAAGGTCAACCCCTATCGGTATTCCCGTTCCAGAGTTCCAGCCGTTTTCTATAAATGCATTGGAATCGGACAATATCTACCCTTTTGATTTTCAGTCATCTGTTCCCGAGATATATTATAGGTACTACAAGGCTTGTGAACAGGATGGAAATTAGATGTCATGGAGGGTCCTTGATCTGTATCAAATTTGGTAAATATTCACGTTTAACTTTCGGATAAACTGCTGTTGCGACAAAGCATATTTTCAAGCTTTGTGTGGCTATATTATTTTACTTTGCTGGATAGATAAGGCTTGTACTTTTGACCTTAAATTTGTGTTATGTGTCGTTTAGTGTTTTGTTGGTCATCTGTAATTTGATTAGTTTTACCTTTACGGTCAGCTATGAACTTTCTACAATAGACTGTTTCATCTTTGATGTTTCCAGCTGTCCAAATCCATTCTTGGTTAACCACTTGCGCATTGGGCCATGTAGCGTCATTAAACCTACAAAGAGATAACAAATAGTCTCGAAGAAAAAAAGATTGTCACAGACCGCAAATCTAGTCAATTTCGTGTCCACAAGCTTTGAATTCAGCTATTAAAACTGTAGCCTCCATCGCGTTGAAATTCGATAGCGTTCGTCCTCTCATGACTATACCCTCTGTCGCGTTCAAAAGGTCTGGGAAAAGGTGTGACATCTCAGGATCTGAAAGTGGCGTCACGTTGAATATCCAATTAGCAATTTAAAAACAAATAATAATTGTGAATCACTTTATATACATTCATATTAGATTAATATGTGCGTTTTTCTTATATTTTATTGTCCAGGGAATAGAGCTAATGGGCCTTTTAAAGCAATAACCATAATATCCCACCTGTGTTTATTCCATCCTTGCTCATGTTTATTATAACATTTCCATTCTGCACTGGTTTCAATGCCGTTACTCAATGTCACCTTTATTCCAGCAGGTCCGCCGGTATTCCGGCATTTTATAGCAATAAGTTGCGTATCATCAGGGATACTGATAGATGCTGGTTGATCCCAGTAGCTGTTATTACTATTCTTGTGCAGAACACCATCAACATAAAACTCCATGATGTTATGACAGACAGCTTCCCCAGTTATAGCTTCATGAGCTGAAATTTCATTTTTGAGAAATGTTGAATTAATAGCAACCTGTATCTCAGAAAGAGAGCCATACAATATCAAATAAATATTTTTGTAGTTTACTAACATTTATTTTAGTACACATGACATGGTTTGCAAAAATTGGAACTCGGGTAGCTTGATAACAATCAATATTTATTTGGAACCTTCAAATTTACAACCTCGTGGGTTTTCTCTGGATCCTCCGCCCCCCCCCCCCCCCACACACACACACACACTGCTAATGATCTCTACGAGCAAGCGAATTATTGAAAAATGTTGAACCATATGTTCGTCGCGAAATGACCTAGATTGTATCGACTAACCGTTAAACCCGTTTCTCTTAAAATTGTAGCATAGCTTGTCGAATGTGGACGCAAACGACAAGCTTATCAAATCCGTCGTGTAACAACATCACTGCTACACATTCCTTGTTTTGGTCACTAATCGTCTAGATATGACTGGTTGCTGATCTGTTATTGCAATTATAGCTAAAATATTTGACGCAGGCACAGATTATATGCTGACACCATTATCACCCCAACATTACTCAGAAACACCGTTCGTTTTTAAACTATGGTTTTATATAACGCAGGCTACAAAGTTTACAAGCATAAATCTATCTACTCAAAAATATCACATCTTTTAGTCTATCTTAACCGCCATCCGTTCGCTCGACGGCAGCTTGAAACGTTAGTCAATGTTCGCCTTAGAATTGACTAGTTCTGGTCTGTTTGTGAGACGTTTAAAGGCGTTTTCTATCCCGATATCTATCGAGGATAATGTTGTTTTCGAAGGAAACCCCGTAATCCTTTCTGACGTTTTGATTTATCTTCTTCCGAAGAAACAATTGTACATACATGTCTGTTAAGATTATAAGGGATACTCCTTTCTGTATGTGTTGGAAGGCATGCTCAAAAATCAAACTATTGATGTGTATCAATAGTTTTATGAAATAAATCAGTTATTATTTTGCTTGTGGATGAAAGCCTCACTGTTACATCTAGAAAATTAAGACTAATTGTGCTCTTTCCGTAGGGAATTTAAACTATTGTTCATTGAACTGAGTAGGGAATGAAGTTGGTTAAGGTGGTCTGGATCAATATGTAACATGATAAAGCAATCATCCAGAAATCTTTTCCATGCTGCTTCAATAAACAGTTGTGTTTCACGACCAAATTTCTGTCCAATTTCCATATAACACAATTCTTCCAGATATCCATATTTTGGACCAACTTTGGTGTCCATAGCTACTCCTATAATTTGATCACAAAAATTGCCAAGTAAAATGAAAAAAAATATTATTTAACATAACAATTGTAAGTGCTTCTAATGGACATTCTGCATCTAATATTAGACATTTATTTTAAGACAAGCTCCGGTCAATCGAATAACCAATCAGTTTTTTCTTAGCTTCATTCCAGCTGGTGCGTCCGTATGGTGGCATGCTACAGCAACAATTTTGGTTACATCGGGAATACTAATGTTTAAAGATTTGGATGTGCTCTTGCTGTTACCAACTTCAACGCCATCAGCATACAAATGTAGCATATCGTCACAATTTGACTTAACATCGATAGCTGATTGAAATTAAATTTATGAGGAGACATGTATTGACACCCTTCACATACAGGGATTCAACAGGAAGTTGATGGTTGCAAAACATTAGATTCGGAAAAGGTGTTATCATTGCAATTTTAACTTGGACACAATTTGATTTCCGTCTTGAACAATGTGATAAATAAGATCATATACTCATCTTTTCGTCACAGCTAAGTTATATTTATAGCACGGCTTTCATGAGTTAACAGGTTTAACCACAGGACGTAGGCCGAGGTGTTAAACCTGTTAACGAATGAAGCGTGCTATACATGACTTGTAACACTGACACCTGGTCAACATGCTTGTTGTTATTGCACAGAAAACCCACCCACTTCTTTATATGATTTCTACTAAAACTAGTGTAAACTAGCAAAAGGGTGAAATAACACTGAACATGTCAAGTTAAACTTCATCCAATCTACTAGAGAGAAAACAATCTGTTTATTCAACGAAAAGAACAAAGGATGATTTTACGTCCATGTTACAAATAAAGGTAGAGCTGAAGCAATGACGCGCTATCAGTTATATGCTGTGGAATCGTTACTGTCATCATTACGGAGAAAACCCAGTGTCCATGTTGACTTCTAAATCAATTGCGAAAGTAAAGAGCAGAGCTTACCGTATATTAAAGGTAAAAACTCTAGGAATACAATAACCCAATTCATCAAATTCAACATTTTCTTTTATCTGAAGTATAACAAAACATTAATTTAAACGGGGACACCTCTTACTATTTTAGGTCATGAACTGCAGTCGTTGGTATTTCATCCTCTTCGGATGTAATCTACCAGAAAATCACGCCGGTTCCCTCAAGTATATGTACACATAATATGATTCCCGTCCACCATCTTCAGTAGAAGACTTGGCTTGGGCTAGGTTATTTTACGGGGTCAAATGTGTAATCCCTCAAGGTCGCCGAGATGTAAACATGGTTAGGGAACATGGTTGTTGTCGAGTGTTAGGGTAAGGCGCATGGCTAGGTCTTGTGTAAGGGTAGGGTTACCGACGTGTGATACGTCATTTCAAGGGTTGTTGGGGACGAGAAACGGGAAAATGCCATTTCCACGCTGATATAACTAATTAGCATACAAACAAATGTAATGTTAAAGTTAAATGTAAAACGTCAAATGTAATGTGTCAAATGACAAATGTTTTAATGGAAAAGGCTGTTTTGGGGCGTGTCTACAATTTACATTTCCCTCATTAAATTTTACATGATATCCTACAATTGCATATCAAACTTAGTGCTCTGCGTAAGATGATATGTAGAAAGCATTAAGGACAAATAAGATGAGACAGAACGCAAATGTAAAATGTAATGAGGAACATGTAAAATGGAGACACGTCAAAGACAGCTTTTTCCAATAAAATATTTGACGTTTTGCATTTAATTTTGGCCTTAGAGGTATTTTGACTTTATCTTTACCGGTATTCTCCCGTCAAAAGGCAAAACCTAGTAACTCACTTTTTTTTATCAAAATTGAGTTAGGACCAAATTTGTAGTTACTAGGGTGTGTGCTTCCTGTTGTTGTACTAGATCTTCCAATCTTTTGATTTTGTAAGCAGTTACACCCATGCCAAATCCTAGCAACTTCCTTCATTTGCCTAGAATACCACAGCAAAACCTAGTAACTCAATAGTGAAATCAATGGATGAGCTGGGGTTTAATATTCATCCATTACGTTTTCCTTTGTTTTCTCAAAATAAGAAAAAAGTGAGTTACTAGGTTTTGCCGTTTGACGGGAGTATTATGACTTTGTACATTGTACTTTTTACACGTAATCAGAGGAAAACACATTTTGGCAGAGCATGTAATATTGGCAGCGATACCATTCCGTAGTATAACATAATCCCTGTAAATGAGTTTATAATCAGATATGTATTAGCTTTGGCAGCAAGAGATGGGTATTCTAACATTTCAACATGAAGTGATTAATTGAGTGTTGACAGCAGATACCATGGTACTGAATGCCGAAAAAAAAATATGCAGAAAACAAACATATTTGTGATCGTCTTGACACGGTCTATAATTCCATACCAAACAAATCAACTCGATATTCCCATTAGTACAACAGTTAGAAAGACAGCCACGCAAAGTGTGCAATACGCCCACACAGCTGCTTTGTCTCAACAGCAGCTTATCTTATCCAAAGGGATAATGAGCAAATCTGATAATGATGTACGATCGTTTAATTTCTAGGGTTCATTCTCTTATAACCTCATTACTTCTGACAAACCCCTATTAAAACCTATAGCCACTATCGCGATCACCAGGTTTCCGGCAAAGGGGGAACAACTCAGAAACGGAAGGCTGTGGATTACATGCGTATAGGTCATTTTGATATAGTTTTTCTTCTCGGAGGCATTAAGATAACTGACTCATTGAATTCGCGAGATTATCGTGTAATTAAAGTTTAAATTTAGGAATGAGGCACCTTCGCGAAATAGTGGCAAGCTAAAAAGGTGGCTAAAATACAGGTATAATTTATGTTATTGTGAGGCTGATGTCCCCCGCCGAAATCCCAAAATAAATAGATGACACATATTAATTAATCGCACATTTATTCTTTTCAAAAGTATCAAGCAATCAAACTGATTATCAACTATACACTAAGTTTCACCACTCTCTATCAGATAGAATCAAATTTATCTTGTCCCAAAGCATCGATCAATGAAATTTCTTAGCTCTGCTTAGCTTTAGCTCAAAATGTTAATCATTGAACTCAGTCAAGAGATTCACCTAATGAACATCTACATCAAGTTTAAACATTCTACCTTAATTAAAAACAGAGTTGTTATGTTCCAAAGTCTTGACCAATCAAATATCTTATCGCTCCTTAGCCTAAGCAAAACATTCTCATCATCGAACCTAGTCAAGGTAATGATATAATGAATCTATAACTGGGAGTTTCATCACTCTCACTTAATTATAACCAAAGTTATCGTGCCCCAAAGTTTCAACCAATCAGATTGCTTATCTCTGCTTACAGTAAGCAGACAATGTATGTTATCGCACTCCATCACGGCATTCACCTAATGAACGCCTACACCAAGTTTGAACATTCTACGTCAATTAGAAGGAGAGTTATTGTGTTCCAAAGTATCGACCAATCAAATTGCTTATCGCTCAGCTTAACCTGAGCAGAAAATGCTCACTATCGAACGTAGTCAAGGTATTGATGTAATAAAACTATACACCAAATTTCATCACTCTCACTTAATTAGAACTAATGATATCGTGTCCCAAAGCATCAACCAATCAAATTGCTTATCTCTGATAACTCTTAAGCAGAAAATGCCCATCTTCGAACTCCATTAAGGCATTCACCCAATAAACACCCACGCCAATATTGAACATTATAGCTCAATTAGAAGGAGAGTTATTGTGTCCCAAAAAGTGTGACAGACAGACGGACGAAAGGCGGGGGACAAAAAAGTATATAAACGTTATATAGTATAATATGTCGTACGTATTATTTCACGCGCTGTATATGTGTGAATAGAAAAATTCGTCTGCTAAATGTTGTTGAAAATCGATATTATGTCGTCTGCCGTCAGTGTAGAAGTCACGTGGTGAGTTTAGAGATAGGAATTTATTAATATTTGAAATAATATACAGGTAGTTTATCAAATCAAAAGGTTGAGTTTGGATAAATTAGAACTGCACCCGCTGGCTAGAAATTCTCATGGACAATGATAACAAACAGGAGTAAAATTGTATGAGTAAAGACTAGGTTAGTGTTTATAAAAACATAGTATTATTCTATTCTAAAATAAAATGTCATGCGAATTTACAGGCCATTGTTGTTTGGCATTCTTATTAGTGTTTATTTACCACTAATACAAATCTCCAAATACAAATCTTGCAAAACATTTCTCCAAAAACATTTGTTCAATAACATTTCTCCAAAAACATTTCTCGAAATGCATCGAACCGGAACATTATGACGACATAAGCCGAAATCAACCTGGCATACAGTAAGTCACAATACAACAAAGGAGACTCGGGCAAACATATACAATAAAAAAATATCGCTCGGTGACCGTGACTTTAGTGAAATCTGAAATCGCGTGCGTGTTATATATATACATGTATATATATATGTTGTTAATCTGATCTAGCATTAAATAAAATAAATTGAAAGTAGTCATTTTTAGTAATTAGGTTATTATTTGATAGCGACATATTTGTTTGCACAAACGAAAGAGGGTTTTATCTCTTCTAAATCTTGTAATCATGAATGTGCCAGTCAATTAGCTAATACTCGT